GTGCTAAGTGGTTGTTGAAGGACGCGGTGTTGTGGTTGGCGTAAGGTCCGGTATGGTTTGGCGTTGTTAGGTCGAGGTCCGGATACCACGATTGAATGGCGTGCTCCGGCATGAAATGCACGTACGACTGGAGGAGCAACGCGTACGATGCCAACAAAACTCATTTTACCCCATTTCCGTCTTGGTGTTGTCGGGACCGTGAACCGTGGGTGCACGTTTTCCACCGTCACGACAGGGACGACGGTACCGCCGACTGCTGCTGCAACCACGCCGCCCACGCCAGGTGACTCAAGCATCCATGTTTGCTGTAGCACGGCTGATGGTGTGCTAAGTGGTTGTTGAAGGACGCGGTGTTGTGGTTGGCGTAAGGTCCGGTATGGGTTGGCGTTGGTAGGTTGAGGTGCGGATACCACGATTGAATTGCGTGCTCCGGCATGAAAGGCACGTACGACTGGAGGCAACGCGTACGATGCCAACAAAACTCATTTTACCCCATTACCGTCTTGTTGTTGTCGGGACCGTGAACCGTGGGTGCACGTTTTCCACCGTCACAACAGGGACGACGGTACCGCCGACTGCTGCTGCAACCTCGCCGCCCACGCCAGGTGACTCAAGCATCCATGTTTGCTCTAGCACGGCTGATGGTGTGCTAAGTGGTTGTCGAAGGACGCGATGTTGTGGTTGGCGTAAGGTCAGGAATGAATTGGCGTTGGTAGGTCGAGGTCCGGATACCACGATTGAATGGCGTGCTCCGGCATGAAAGGCACGTACGACTGGAGGCAACGCGTACGATGCCAACAAAACTCATTTTACCCCATTTCTGTCTTGGTGTTGTCGGGACCGTGAACCGTGGGTGCACGTTTTCCTCCGTCACGACAGGGACAACGGTACCGCCGACTGCTGCTGCAACCACGCCGCCCACGCCAGGTGACTCAAGCATCCATGTTTGCTGTAGCACGGCTGATGGTGTGCTAAGTGGTTGTCGAAGGACGCGATGTTGTGGTTGGCGTAAGGTCCGGTATGGTTTGGCGTTGGTAGGTCGAGGTCCGGATACCACGATTGAATTGCGTGCTCCGGCATGAAAGGCACGTACGACTGGAGGCAACGCGTACGATGCCAACAAAACTCATTTTGCCCCATTTCCGTCTTGTTGTTGTCGGGACCGTGAACCGTGGGTGCACGTTTTCCACCGTCACAACAGGGACGACGGTACCGCCGACTGCTGCTGCAACCACGCCGCCCACGCCAGGTGACTCAAGCATCCATGTTTGCTCTAGCACGGCTGATGGTGTGCTAAGTGGTTGTCGAAGGACGCGGTGTTGTGGTTGGCGTAAGGTC